CCACACCCAGGGGGGGTCAAAGGACAAAAAGTCGCACTTACCATGATCGCCTGTGATTTGGTAGGAGTTGCTGGCCTCGTAGCCGTCGTAGTCATTATCGGCAGAACCTTCCATGTAGTTGATTTATTTGTTGTCAGTGATACTGTAGATGTCTGCGTCGTAAGTGCCGTCGAAGTTGTTGAGATTGTTGTTGCTGTTGAGTGCTGCGATTATGTAGCATAAGATGTCATCGTCATAGGCGCTGTTGAAGCAATTGTTGGCATCGTCCCAATAAGCTCCGGGATAGCCGCCGTTATTGTATTCGATGCTGTTGTTGTTGTTGATGATGATGATGTTGTCGTTGCCGGTAACACAGACTCCCCTGAATAAGCGATGAGAAGATTGGAGACTTCAGCCTCCCCCCACACTTCACTCGCCATCCTCACTTTCATCGCAGCATTGTAATCCACCCCCTGCTCATCGATCGTGCTGCAATATCAAATCTTCCGCCCGCCGCCAATCAACGAAAGCCTCCAGAGTCGGATTCTCCCGGATCTGCCAGAGGATAGTCTCCAATTGAAGAAACTTATCCTCCAACCATGCAGCCAGGGCAGATCCCCCCCAATCCACCACCGGCCAGGCCCATGCCACGGAGGACAGGACTCCGGCAATCTGCTGCATGCATCGTTGTGTATCTTCCAGTTCGGACAGCCACCCCTCTGCCCGACGCTGGAGTTCCTCGGCTGAAGCCATGTCCTCCAGAATCGCCACGTGTGGTAATCCCTGCGCAAGGACGCCTTCTTCACGCTGACCACGAGATGCCACCATCTCGCCCGCACCTTCACCTGCCCCGGCAGTCAAGCCCAATTGATCCATTGCCGACTGACCCACTAGCAACCTCCGGTGATGACGTCAACGCATTCGGTCCTCCTCGGTAACACCGAGTCGTTGGGTCTCGAGACCGCCGGGCCTGCCGGCCAGCACGCTCCCAGCTCGCTCGCGCAAAACCTTCGTGGCTGGAAAGTATGGGACTCCCTCCTCCTACTCATTGTAGGCTAGGCGGGGAACCCCGTCCATGTACTGGCAATTCAAATTAGGAAGGGAAGGGGCACAATACCCGGTGGAACTGGTGAACCATTCGAAATGGGCCAGAGAGTTCATGGTACCTACCACACTTTGCATCTACGGGCAGACGGGAAGGAGCCCTAGATTGACGGACTCGGACAAGGAAAGGGGAGGGAAGGGGAGGGAAGGTGCAGCGGGCCTTCATCTGCCCTGGCCTACAGCCAGGGCCTATTTGGCTATTTGCCCAGTTCGGCCTATGGGACCAGGCCGTGGCCTGACCCCACAGGCCGTGTGTTGTTCTAGTCCTGCCCGGTACCACTGTCGGTACCAGGCCAGTCCAGTCCAGTCAGTCAGTCCGCTGGGAATATACCCCAGCACTTGTCTGTTTTTCATTATTCTTCACTTTTGCAGATCTTGGAGTACGTGCGTGTTGAGTCTGCGTCGGAGCTGCGCTGTCCCTTCCAGCTCCATCTCTATCTCCTCCCTCGT